GTGGGTACGGAAAGTATTCAGACCCCCTTAAATTTTTTGTATGACCATGAAAGTCATACAAGGTTAGTGTAGTAAAGGAATAGATAACTGTCATTTTTAATGAAAGCATTGGGCGTTTTGCATCATTGATGTCAAACCTGATGTCTTTTTGCTCCAAAATTGAATATGTGCAAGTTTGAATGAGAATTGAGTCTAACATCTTGTTTTCCAAATAACATACGTCATAGTCATATGTTTTGAAAAGACAAGATGGTGATAATTTTTGAGTGAACTGTTCCTTTAATATGCATATAGGGCTTGTGATTTTAAACTGTGTTGAGCAGTTTAAAAGCAAAGAGATTTGAGCAGCAGGCCACTAAAAATACATGACATTGCAGAGGATTAAAGTGTCCATATAAAGAAGAATATGGAAAATTTAGTCCGTGTTGCTTATGTCAAGGTGAATGGCTGTGTTTAATTTCAGTGTGACTGATGCATGATAAAAATGGACCTCGGTTTAAAATTTTGGTTGGGCTTGTTTTAATATTTGTTCCATTGCTCCATTTTCTCCACTTACTCTGGCACTAATGGGAAGGAAAACGTCTGAAATATACTGTGCATCAAACACCTCTGACCTGAAATGTGCCACCTGTAGCCAATATGTAAATATAGTCTAGTGGATGTGAAGTAATGAGGGGGTTTTATGTTAGAGTGGAGAAGTTTAGCTACGGTAAAGGAGAGAAAATTATAAAGTGCTTTCATAATGGCTCTGTAATATCATGATCTGAATGTTCTGTCTGCTATCCATAAAAATCAGGTCACTCACTGTCATAAGCGTGTTTCATTATACTTGTTTAGCCAACAGCCCATGTGTCTGACATCCACAATGTTTTGTCTCCATCTTTTTTTTTTCATGCCATTGCCTCCATCCCACATGTGCTATGTCATTGTGTATCGGTATCATCAATCCTAATCCGCATGCTCTGATTGGTTCATCCACTGCGACCTCTTGCGTGATTGGCTTGCCACAGGACCACAGTGGTGTCTTACAAGCTGAGGAGTTCAAGGCTTGTTTGATCAGTCTGGGTTACGACGTAGAAAACGACAAGCAGGTATGAGCACGCCCGGAGAAGAAAGGGTTACGATGGCTGCCGTGTGTCTGTGTCTGTGTCTGTGTGTGTGTGCGCGCCACTTATTCCATCACTCACTAACTCCCTCACTCACCTGTTGTGCTGCTGCTTGAAATGGTGCCCTCAGCAGGTCAGCTAAGGTTTTGCTTTCATGTTTTATGTTTCTCACTGCTTCCTTTTTCTTTCTTTTTTTACTTGTCCTTGTTATAACTTCCCTCTTTCTCTTACTTGTCTTCTGTACAAACTCATTCTGATTCCTCTATCAAACTCTTCTGTCTGCGTACAACCTCTTCATCTCCCCAAATTCTCTGCTTTCTACATGCATCCTTCCTGTTTCTTTTCTCATCCTTCCCTTTGCGAACTGTAGAAGCGCACGGGGATAATGGACAGCGACGATTTCCGCGCACTGCTCATTTCCACTGGGAACAGCCTGGTACTGCTACCTCCTTTCTCAATCTACAGCAACAGTTTCTCCTGAACTCCTGCTTTTGCTTGCTGTTAAAAAAAATAATCTGTTTTGTCGGATATCGTTGATTACTTTTTATATTTTTTTTAATCTATATTTTACGTTAAGATCTGTAAATAAAAAAAATTATTACTGAATAGATTCTAATAGACCAGGGGTGGCCAACTTTCGTCCTGGAGAGCCACAGTCCTGCAGAGTTTCGCTTTACCCCTAATCAAACAGACCTGAACAAGCTAATCAAGGTCTAAGCGTTACTAGAAAGCTACAGAAAGAGTTTTTATCAAGGTTGAAGCAAAACTCTGGAGGACTGTGGCTGTCCAGAACCAAAGTTGGCCACCCCGTAACAGACCACAGTCAAGCACCTTAGATGCAGTATTAATTCGGCTCAAATGAAAACGGGCTGAGGGATAGATGTAAAGTTAGCGTTCAGTGAGTTTACCATTCAGGTGACCATTGAAGTCTTAATCAACGCATTGACCCAACTGTACACCAATTTCTTACAGCCTTGTTTTCATTTGCGTCAAATATGGTGTTTAACGTTGATTCTCATGACTGTCCTCCTGGTTTTTCTGGGTTAACCTCTAACCTCTGTTCTTCAGGGTGATGCCGAATTTGGTCGTATCATGGGTATTGTTGACCCCAACAACAGTGGAGCAGTGACCTTCCAGGCCTTCATCGACTTCATGTCAAGGGAAACAACCGACACAGACACTGCAGACCAGGTCATCGCCTCATTTAAGATCCTAGCCGGAGACAAGGTATGAATGTGCACGTCTGGATGTCCCTCCAAGAGTGTCTTGTGTTATGAGACTTCAACGCATCTCTTGCCTATTCTTCTTTTCAGAACTACATCACAGCCGAGGAGTTGAGGCGTGAGCTTCCTCCTGACCAGGCAGAGTACTGCATTGCCCGAATGGCACCATACACGGGCCCTGACGCGGTTCCATGCGCTCTTGACTACATGTCCTTCTCCACCGCCCTGTATGGGGAGAGCGACCTCTAAGGGCCAACTCCAGAACTCCGGAGCAGTTCTCTCTCCTGCATCGGTGCTGATCTTCTCACAGACTAGATAGATGAGAGCGCTGGATGGAGCTGCATCTGTCTTTCTCTCAACCATCCAGTCCTTAAAGAGATCAGTGCTCCTGAGGAAGAGGAAGATATTTAAGAGTGTTGGAAATGGGACTTCATAGCACACCTGAGGGGGAGGGGGGATAGATGTTTGGGGGAAGGAGGGTACCATGGCATTGTGGGAAGAGCAAATAACTGTTGATGAAGCTTGCCACGCATTGAGGGATAGCCTTTTGGATTCCGTGTTAAACGTGTCGGTCTTGGAGAGCTTAAGAAAAGATGTAGGATAGAAGGAAAGAGAAAAGTTTAATATTGCAGATTTAGTGTCAAGGGAAGTGGGTGTGTGGCTTTGGACTGTAGCCACAGCTCAGGTTCTTTAACCTTCCGTTTCCTCTTAAAATGGCATATGAAAGGACTCGATGGTGTTTTTCCAGCTTTCAAGTGATTTCTCACCAGCTGATGTTGAGCCGTTGGGCTCATTAAATTAGAAAAAATATTAATTATTATTAAATCTACTAGGTTGTTCTGGGATGGAACTAAAGAGAGCTTAAAGAATCAGCTTTGGCTTCAGTCTATGCCTAGACACTTAACCTGCACCCTCTACCCCGGTGGGGAGGGCACAATCTTTTCCAGTTAACATGCTGTTTTTCGTTGTTTTAATTTTGTTGTTTTCTTCCTAGAGTTGGTGGGGTGGGAGGTTTGGTTTGGGGTTGGAATATGCTATTTGGCATATAGCAAGGCTGTGTATATCGTAGGAAAATGGACAGAATGACTCGAGTGTTTTGATAGGGAATTTGTGACATGCCCTCTTAACCCATTTTGCTGGATCGGTGGAACTCTTTGAAAATCTAACCTCAGCTTTTTCCTCCCCTTTTTATTTCTTTCCTCTCCAGCAATTGAGTTAGCGGGATTCTACGCTGTACATACTTATTTTCCAGTACACAGAACTGTCGGACTACCCATGGCGGTCACACTGGGCTTCAGGTCATAAGCAAAGATTATAAAATGAGCAGTTTCACCCCTGCGGAGTACTGTAGGCAGGCTTAGGTAGCTACAGGTTTGTTTTTAAGGGGTTGAAGAATGAAGCTACAAAAATACCCAGTCGATTTGTTGTTTTCCTTCCCCGATCAACCATACAGCGTTCTCTTATTGACTCCCTGACTCAAGTAGGCATGTCCCTTAAGGATTTATTAACTGAAACTAATGTCCATCTGCCATCCATCTCTAATCATTTCTCAGATATTACTAAATGTCCATGTGAGAGCTTCAGTGGTGATGTGAGCAGCATAGCCTTGTAGTGACCCTCCACTAGAGCCTATGACTACACAGCTGCTGAATCATCAGTGGAAAAGAGAATTTTATATAGTCAGAAATAAGTACAAATGTGCCTGGTAGTTGCAGGTTGCTCTCTCTTTGGCTCATTTTGCCTTTTCTTTTGTTGTGCACTCGTTTTTCTCTTTCTACAGGGAGGGGCAGGTACCCAATGTACAGCTCTGGAGGTTGAGGGGAAGGAGTGGGAGAGCTGAAGTCTTAATAAACATTCCATTATGTCTTAATTAAAATTAAATTACTGTCTAACAAATCTATGCAATCATGTATCCAATACCAACCATGCTCTGTAATGAACGGCGGGGGTGATTTGCAATCGGAAGTGTTGAATTTAAGTGAGAACAAATTAAGGGTAGAGGGAGGGAATAGGGTTGGGAAGATGGGCTTCAGAAGTTTTGAACAGACTTGGACCAAAAGCCTGCTCTTACGTCTGCAAAGTTGAATAAAAGCATTTGGAATTCTGATTTATTTTTTTCTTTTGTACTCTTTAATATCAAACGTTATCTGCTGTACTGGAAATTTGCAAAAAATTGCTTTCTGTCTGAAGATAAGTGAATTTCACATGCACACATAAAGTTTCCTTATAAAATATTACCACTTTGAATTATTTGTCTGTGTCCCTATTTGATTTTGTCTCTGGAGCTTTTTTTTATTTTTTTAACTTTATTCAAAGTTTATAAATGAATGCATTAATGACGTTCTGTCTGTAAGTCCTATCAACAACATTGGTGACAAAATATTGATTAGCAATGATTCTTTTATCCTGAGACAGACAGATTTATTGTATTACTGTAGGCCTATTAGTGTAAAAAAAAAAAATCCTCAAAAGAACTGTTTTTTTTTCTCCTGTGGTAATCTGCATTATGCCTCACACGTTGTGGATGGTGCTTAATTTGAGGGCTGTTGAAACATTGAAATTATTTTAAGAAAGCTCAAATTAGCCAGATACTACATGTGCTATTAAATTTTTATGTGCGATTATATTTAAATAAAAACTTTAAAAAAATAATAAACAGCCACTCTAATAAACAGTTTAGACAGGTGAGGACTCTCAAGAACCAATAGTTAACTTACCATCCCCCTAGCCATCCTGAGGAGGAGTTCCTGTGTGAAAATGTGAAGTCAGCACAGTCGGTTGTGTTGAGCTCCTCAAAACAACATTCGTGAAATGTTACAGAAGACATCGTTTTTAATGTTTTAAGGTTATATTATTTTGGTCGAGATGGGTCGTTTTTATCGCCAGTCTGTTGGTTGTCCTCGTCGAAAACGAACGGTTAGGCTGCTATGACAAACTGAGTAAATGCGGGCTTTTTTTCTGCTGTCTTCAACCTCTGAATCCTGGCCGTTACAGTGGTGAGGACGCGCGCCTTGTGTTTAAATTCACACGCAGGCGGGAAAAACGTGACGGATCTCGGAGCGTGGTCTGTTGTGGCGGGAATCATGTTGGCGTTGACGTTCACCTGTCGCTTACTACTCATCTTTCTGTTGTCAGATTCAGTAAAGATGACGGACGAAAATCAGGTAAACTCCCGACTGGACACGAAAATAAATGATTTGATCTTGCATGTGTAAAATGTATAGTTGTGTAATATTTTGTAATAACAGATGCAAGAAGATTAGGACAAATCTACTGAACATGTCAGATCCATAGATAAACGTATACATTTGCTGCTCTCCTAATTGTTGCAGAAAATTAACTAAAGGGAATTACATATGTAATGAGGGACTTGTCATTATATATATATATATATATATATATATATATATTAGTAGCTCTAAAAAGACACAAAGATTGAATATTTAACATGTAACCCAGTGAAATAAAAAGGGTTTTGTGAATTTCTGAGTATCGCTCCATGTCATACATTTCCATGTCAAAACATGCACCTGTTAACCTGCAAAAGAAAAAAAGGCCACCTGGAAATGCACAAGCCACGTAAATCTGATCAGGCTAAGAGAGATTTTGTCTAAAAGCGACACAGGAATACAGAATTTTTTTCTTTATAATCACCCTATTTTTAAAGGCCCATGTGTTAAAGACAACAAATATTGGCATTAAATTCAAAATATGCACACCTGTCAGCAAAGTGGCACCACATCTCTCATTCATTACTAAACCAACCACCTGAGGCCACTCAGACTGGGTATTTATTTTCATTCACAGTTCTAAAATTGTTAGACATGCCTCATGTCTACAGTGCTGCCTTGTTCTCCAACAGAGACATCCTTGACTTTCCATGTTGTTTGTTACTGGCTGCACACTTGGCAGGAGCAGGTTTAAGCGCAGCCGTGTTCATGTCACTTCCAGTGTTTCATTTGCTGTTGCACATTGAAATTGGACTGTGAAGGTGTGGAAAGATTCCATCCTGATGATTTTGGCAAATCAGCATCAGTAACTGTTTAAGGAAATGCATAACCTAGAGTCCAAAGTTACTTTAATACCTTGACTCTGTTATTGAAATATTAGAATTTATTTTATATTCTTGCAGTTGAGACCTAAACTCTTTTTGTATGTATGTATAGATTTGTTAAAAATTGGTCTTTCCAACAGCTGTATAACTTATAAACATGCAGTGCATCCAGACATACACAGAAAAAATATAAATAGGGCAAATAATAGATATTAATGTGCATGATTAATGACAAAAATAAGAAGAAACGCTGATTAAATTCTAAATCTGATGGGTCATGTAGGGACTTGCATGCCTTTACAGCATGTTATGGAAAATGTGGATATTTTTCTGAGAACGTAAGGTTTTCATGGTTTCTCAGTAATGATTGTGTGTTGCATGTAGAACATGTGCATGTACACACTCATAAGAGATGGAGATGTTTCCACAAACTTCTGAACATGTGCAAGTCATTTTGCAAGCTCTCTCTCTCGGGCCTCATTAAAGGACACACTGCTCTATTCTTTTCAAGGATTCAGTAAACACTGCCACATATGTTTGGGATATTTATGGGTAATGGAACTTCCACTAATATAATTCTAAACTGTTTGCCTGTTTTTTCCACACTACGTCTCTGATGGACATCAGAACATGTGTATATACAATAGAAAAGATATAGAACTTTAATACTTGTTAGAATCTGGCATAGAAAGATTTTTACTGTTGTAACTTGGAAAATGTATGCTCTGATATATTCTTATTACAATATTGGCACATTCATACTGAGAGCAAACTGCCATCTGACCAAAATTGTAGTTTTTCATCTATAATTAAAGTACACAAGGATGCCAAATTCAGTTGCAGGAGAATATTTTTGAATATTTAATCTTGGGGCTATTTAATATATAAATATGTACTCTCTTTGCTTGCCTTCAATAGGATAATCTGTCCTTTGAGAGAGTGCATTAATATAAATCTTTCATTAGTGTGTCTAAACCATCTCGCATCACCTTCCCATCATGGGACCTCCAGCGTTTTTCTCGACAGTAGCCTGCTGTTCCTCAGCCAGACACCATGTTTCTCTTTTTTTGAGAGTTTTTACACAGTCTAGCCTTTTACATTCAGCCAGATGTAAAGAAACTGACCCCCTCCTGTTCTCTAATTCTAGTTGCTGGTGTTGGAAAAGCAGTGGCGTCAGGCGTGTGTGCTGGACTGTGCTAGAGGGCGCCATCAAGCTGTGTGTGGCAGCAACGGCCGAATGTATAAATCTCTGTGCTCTTTCCAGCGTGCGCAGTGCATCAACAGACAGCTGAGGACGGCTGCAGTGTCAACATGCACAGGTGAGGTTCATCACAGGGAACAAAGACTTCTCATTTGCTGTCAACGGAGGCTTTTTTTAAAAGTCTGAAGTGTTTGTGTTTGTCAGCAGATGCGTTGAGGTCTAAATGTCAGCTGGCTCGCTCTCAAGCTCTGCGGGCCAGCGCTCGTTCTGATTCCTCTGCTGTCTTTATCCCAGAATGCAAAGCCGATGGAACTTATGCAGAGGTAATGTGATGCTGAAGTCCAACACCTGGCGAGGAACATGTGATTTAAAACATACTTATATTTTAGGATTTTTTTGATGAATTTAAGTTCAAAATAACCACATTTATTTAAAATAGAAATCTTTTGTGGTATTATAAATGTCTTTACAGTGAGTATCACTGTAAATCAGTTTATAGCATCCTTGCTTTAATTTGCTGTTTTTTGTTTTTGTAAGAATTTTTTCATATATCTGTTAAAATTATTCATATATATATATATATATATATATATATACATTAATTAAAGTATTAATTTTACAAATTAATTATATATATAGAATTAATCAATTGACTAATTTTTCTTTCATGATTTAATACATTCAGGCTTTACTCTTTCAGTTCCTCTTTTAAGGAAAAAAATTAATATGTAAAAACTGTGTTTTATTCAAAAGAAAAAATACTGACCTAAGACTTTTGAGTAGTAGTATGTATACGTAATTTAAAAAACGGATAATTCCGGTCCTTGATTCTGATTGGTTGAGCCGCGTTCGAAGCTGTTGTAAATTACTCTACAAACATACACCTTTGTTTACTTCTGTGTGTTGCTCGGCAACCACTTTGTTGGAACCACCACTGTTTCTGAGGAACTACATTGTTTGGTGGAAGAATACTGTTTTTATTAATATCATTACACTTTATTTGCTCTGTTTTATTTTGTGAAACCTTACTATGTATATGGAATAACCGTTTTATAAAAGCAATAAGCCCCGTGAAGCCGTGGTTTACAGTGAATTTCTAACAGCTAACAACGCCCCTTAGCTGTTATAAATTCACTGTAAACCACGGCTTCTTGGGGCTTATTGCTTTAGTATACATATATAATATTCAAATTAATATCTTAATTAATACTTGATGGCATTATTTGATGACTGCAAATACAGACCTGAAATCTGTTTTCGATGTAAAAAAACAAGTTTCCATCAACCATGACTCAATGCTCCAATGAATACAAATGCATTGAACTCTTATGACCTTTGACCTGTAGGTGCAGTGTCACAATCAGACGGGTTACTGCTGGTGCTCCTCTCCTGATGGGATTCCTATGAGCGGAAGCTCTGTCTTACACCTGCAGCCCAACTGCACTGGTAAGTCCTGTTTGAGAGCACAATCAACTAGTGATACAATATAAACCGTGGGCTTTATTCAGGATTCTCTAAACCAGTGGTTCCCAACCCTGGTCCTGGAGGCACCCTAACACTGCACATGTTGCATGTCTCCTTTCTCTGACACACCAATTTGCGAAAAACCACCAAAATGTCAATATCGCAGCACTAATTTGTCTGTAAAATGTGTATTTTTATCATAAGTACATTTAAAGCAGCACTATGTAACTTTTTCTGTGTTCAAAATGTGCAAAATGTATATAATGAGCGAGTACATCATGAATTCATCTTCCAAACCGCGTTTTTGTCTTATCTTAACCGCTAGAGCGCCAAAAGTTACATAGTGCTGCTTTAAAGGATCTTTTATAGAGTTGTATATACCATTTCAAATTAGAATTTTATACAATGTTTGTATTAATACAGAGTTCTGGCATGAAACTCTAGATGGCGCAGTCCAATAGATCTAACTCAGTATGACATAATGACATCATTGTCACATGTCGCAGCTGATTGGTTGTCTCCTGTATCGGTAGCCAATGAGCTTGCTGCTCAACATTCAAATACGTGGCTAATGCTTGTGGTAACAGTTGCAGCACACTTCAGAAAACCCTCCACCTTCCCCAGCTCCACCTGTATAGATCTGCTACGGGGTGATCATGTATGTTATGGGGGTTATTCATGTTATATGTGCAGCAGCAGAATTTCTTACATGCTCACAGCAGCATGCTGTGGATGTATTGGCAGTAGTAAATGTTTAAATAAAACTAGTAAATATACAAATAAAGCTAACTAGAAATAATAATAATAATAAAACTAATACAAATATTTGATGAAAAACAAAGGCTTAAAAATTAAAATGAAAATTAGAAATGATGCCATGACAACTTACTGAAATGAAATGTTTAAATTGAAGTACTAAAATGACTGAAAGTAAAACTGAAATAAATGTAAATAAAGCTGAATAGAAATATAAAAAAATGAAATCACGTACTAAAAAATTAAAACAGCTAATTCAAAATGTTAATAAATACTATTACAGTATATAAATAATACTAAAATATCAGTTTAAAAATCACAAAATATTGTTTCATTAATTTATGCATGCACTTTGTAATCTTTCTAATGATTTTAAATACATTTCTACATTCTCATTTCTGTGGCAGGTCTAGAACGTATGTTGATGTAGAACCTCTGTTATGACTTGGGTTTTGTGTGAAGTGTATGATGCTGTTCTTGTCTCTCAGGACACCTGCGGCCCGTCCTCATGTCCTCAGCTCTCCGGCCTCTTTCTCGTCTGTTCAAACTCTCCGTCTGTACTTTACGCTGCTGGACACAGACGCTGACGGGCTTCTGAGCGAGCGGGAAGCGCGTCTGTTACGTCTCCTGCTCCGCAGAACTCTGCGTCCTCGCCGTTGTGCCAAGAAGTTCATGCAGTTCTGTGACCGGAACGCAGACCGCCGCCTAAGCGCTCAAGAACTCACTTCCTGTCTTGGCATTTAAGGCCAGACTCCATAAATATTGTGCAAGATGAAGTATCTTTGGAAATGGTTTGAGACGTCAGTTTGACCTTCATCTCCTCACAGCTCTTTTGAGTCTCAGACTGCAGCGTTCAATCACTTCACTCTGGGTTTTTGAATCTGTTTCAGCTCTCGCCTCCGCTCTGACCTTTTCACTTATGCAAGTCCAAACATCGCACCTTTCAAATAAAGGACTTGTTACTGGTTCTGTAAAAATAATCACGGTTAAGCCTTTCTGGCCGCTGGAGCGGTCGAGTGTGTGTGACTGTGTATTTGAGTGGCTAAGACAGCGATTTTGGACACAGTACAGTACCATGGTAAATTAACATCTTAATCATTCGGTGTTCGTGACATGCAGTAGGATCTGAAAGTCTGAGACCACATTGATAACTTAAAGGGGTCATATGATGCGATTTCAAGTTTTCCTTTCTCTTTGGAGTGTTACAAGCTGTTCGTGAATAGATAAGATCCCTAAAGTTGCAAAGACTAAAGTCTCAAACCCAAAGAGATATTCTTTATAAAAGTTAAGACTGGTCCACTCCCTCCTAAAACGCCTCGTTCTAAAACGCCCTCAGATGTCTACATCACTGTGTGGGAAAATTTGCATAACACCGCCCAAATGTTCACGCAAAGAAAGAAGGCGTAACTTGTTCTTTTTAGCAACATCATATGACCCCTTTAAATATCTACTTTTTTATTTAAATTTGGAATTAACTAGAAAGTTTTAGGACCAAATACTAAGAAATTCTGAAATTCATCTATGTCTGTTTAATTAATTTTTCAGCCAAAAAATATGCAATTCAAATTCAAAAGTCTGTGGTCAGTACATTTTTTTTCTTTCTTTTTTTTTTTTGTTGAAAGAAATGAATACTTTTGTTCAGCAAGGATGTGTTAAATCGATACAAAAAAGTCATAGTAAAGACTCATATTGCTAGGGAAAAAAAATCCATTTTGAATAAATGCTGTTTTTTTATAAATTTATAAAACAGATAGTTCCGGTCCTTGATTCTGATTGGCTGAGCCGCCTTCGAAGCTGTTGTAAATTACTCTACAAACATACACCTTTGTTTACTTCTGTGTGTTGCTCGGCAACCACTTTGTTGGAACCACAACTGTTTCTGAGGAACTACATTGTTTGGTGGAAGAATACTGTTTTTATTAATATAATTACACTTTGTTTGCTCTGTTTTATTTTGTGAAACCTTACTATGTATATGAAATAACCGTTTTATAAAAGCAATAAGCCCCGTGAAGCCGTGGTTTACAGTGAATTTATAAAAGCTAACAACGCCCCTTAGCTGTTATAAATTCACTGTAAACCACGGCTTCTTGGGGCTTATTGCTTTAATTAAGCAGCACAAATGTTTCTAACATTGATAATAAATCAGCATGTTAGAATGATTTCTGAAGGATCATGTGACACTTAAGACTGGAGTAATGATGCTGAAAATTCAGCGTTGCATCACAGAAATATATTTTAAAGTATATTAAAATAAAAAATGTCTGTTTAAATTGTAATAATATTTCACAATATTACTGTTTTTATTTTGTAAATAAAAATAAATGCAGCCTTGGTGAGCAGAAGAGACTTGAAAAATCTTACTGATCCCAAACTTTCAAACAGCATATACTATATGCCAAAGTACAAGTGCCATGGTTTTTTATAAAAGCACAATAAAGGTGTTTGTCTTGAGTTTTGTGTTTCTTTAAACCTGACAAGCCTTAAGGAGGTCAAAACCACAGTAAATCCTTGAATATGAATGAAAGAATCATAATAATGTGGCTCAGACACCCTTGGCAGGTGTAAAGATTTTTAAGCCACATTTACACATTACACTCATTTACTCCAGTGTGTGTTTGCTAAGCTCATTCTATATAATATGTCTGTGCATGTGTTTAAATGTTGGTGTGTGTTTGCTATTCCATATTCAGGTTTTTTTGTATTGTACACTACTAGCAGTTACCTGACTGAATGTGTTTCTCTACAAATCTTAACGTTTGACCTGCTTAGTTGGATAGTGAAGTAAAAGCAGCAGCACCAAAGCACATCCCTAGGTGGCAGTGCAACTCTAGTCCAGATCTGAGTGATTCTGCATTGAGAGACTGACTGTTTTTGATTTGACTATCAATTTGCTGCATGCATGATACAATTTTGAAAGTGGCTTTGCTTGACGAGACATTTGGTAGCAAGTAAGCGAGATATTGGTTGCTTTGCCATGCTTTGTCATAATCATAAAAACTTGTTTTTGAAACACCTAAAAACTGGACTGTTAAGGTTACAGACACTCCTTCTAAATGGGCTCCCTTTATCACCCATTTCACCGATTACTAGGGATGTAACGATTCACTCAACTCACACTTCGATTCACGATTTTTATTTCACGATTCGATTCGATTCGATTCTCTGGGGGTTTTTTTGTTCTTTTTCTTACAAACTGAGATTTAAGACAAATTATAAATTAAATGTGTCCTTTTGTTATTGCTTGGACAAAATGCTGCACATTTCTTTGTGAAATTGAAATATAACTATAATAATATACTAATATAGCACTTGCATATTATTGCTTTTTTGTTGGTTTTGATTGCTTCTATTGTCCTCATTTGTAAATCGCGTTGGATAAAAGCGTTTGCTAAATGAAAAAAATTAAATATAATGTAAATGTAAATAACAAAATTAAATTGAAATTTTAAAACAAGCCCCAAATCAAATAAAATCAAATAAAAAAATCTCTTCCAACATGAGCAGTTTTTAATCTAAATTAGATTGTATAATTTCGAACTTTGAAGCAAAAACAGAATGGTTTGACTTCAGGTTTGTGAAACTACATAAAAATATCTGCATGAAACAGAAACAGCAAAGCTGAATGAGACGCAGATTCACTCTCTGCCAGCAGGTGGCGCTTAAACCGTTTCCTGGTTTCCGCTGTAAACAAAGCAGCGCTGCACTTATGAACTTTAATATGCATTATACAGAGGCAAGAGGAAAAGAAAAAATACCATCTAAACTTTTCTAAAGACAGTAAGTTCCCCTCAGACATGCATTCATATAAACTCCTACACCTAAATGAATCGCGATTTGTTTAGCATCTCAACCGATTTGAATCGTCACATATTTGAATCGATTTTCAACCGACTCGCGGTTAATCGTTACATCCCTACCGATTACTACTAAAAACCACTGAAAACAACTTATACTACACTTATATACAAACTAGAGAATATAGACAACAGAAAGATAAACAAAAGGTAATACGAACAATCACCAACATGCAGCCAAAACGGGAAAATAAAAGGTTTTATTTCATTAAAAAGTAGAGCATACAAAGAATATATACTGTATGTTGTAGTAACCTGCATCATGTCTGGTACTATTAGCTGAAAAATAACTTTTAAAACATCCAAGGCAGCAAATATTGAAACTATATCTCTGCCATCAGGATTCTAAACAGATTTCACAATCACATTCATTCATTTCTTGTTTGCATTTAAGCCAGGTTGGGATTCGTGAATCTTCTTCAGTTTCTTCAACAGTCTGGGATGTGCACAGAACAGTTTGTTTCTGATATGTAATCTGAAGAGCAGTAAATACAGGAGCACATGATTCATATGTCATTTGTGTTTGTATGTTAAACACTCACATCAATGCATCAATGTGGCAGGCACCATATTTGCTCTGTATCTCACATCTGGAAACTAATCGCAGAATGCGCCGTGGGATTTTCTCTAAAATGGTCACACAGCACCTGGGAGGGGGATATCCTGGAACAAAGGCAGGATTCACTATGTCTGTATTTGTGTCCATTAAATCCTCTTAGAACAAAACTTGAGCTCATGTCACATTTCATATTTCAACATTACATTTTGTAATTTGCAACAACACAAATTCATAAAGGGAGCAGAAAGAGTAAAAATTAAAGCAGCACAGTCTAATCATCATTATCCTTTTATTGCTAGCCTGAAGAGCAGGGGCGGATTTAGTGAATTAGGGGCCCATACATATGCACACATTTACCTAGATGAACCTTGAGGTTCCTTTTTTGTTGTGATGCTTGAGATACAGGTTTTCACAAAAACAAAATAAATTCTGAAATAATAAACCTCACAATTGAGCCTTTAAATATATTTTTTTAAAGGGATGAGTCAGAAGTATAAATTATTATATTACCTTAAAACTGGGTTATGTGGGTGGATTTTCACATTGGACTGACAAAAATTAGAGACTGGATTATTGAAAATGCACATTCATTCTGTACCAGTAGGAGGTGCTTTTGGACATTCAGAAATATAGCCGTTTCCCATCACGTCTGTAAACAAAAGCAGCGCTCTGCTCATAAACGCTACTTTCTCGGATAAAATGAAAATGCCAGCGAAACTTTTCTGAAGACAGTCGGTTCCCTTCAGACATTCATTCATATAAAAACTTGAATTAGTGACAATGAGAAAAGTCCACTGACGAGTTACCAGCGTAAACCTGGGCTCCCAATTGCCTACTTTTTTCAAAAGGCTGTCTAATTTTAAACTTTAAAAATACATTTATTTTTAGTTATTTTAACTATAACATTTAAATTAAACTGAAAAAAAAAACATAATGAAAAGAAAATACATTTACACACCAAAGGATTATATCAACCAAAAAAGTGAGATGCTACTTGGGTCCTTATAAATGAGTAAGAGGCATTTAAAACAAACATATAATACATGCTGTTGCCCAATATTTCTTCAAAAGCTTCAAATGCATGATATTTTCTTTTGCCATAAGCAGGATACACAAAAAGCACGTTCAACTCAGACACATCCACGCTTAATGCGCATCTCGTATATGAAAAATATTTTAAGGGGCCCCTGGCTTTTGGGGGCCAAAGACGGTTGCCTACCTTTGCCTAATGGGTAAGTCCGCCTCTGCTGAGGAGCATCATGACAGAATGTGTCAGGTTTAGGCTGTATTGGTCCCAGTAGATGATTCTGAGCTTCAGTGCTGGTGAGGATGATGGCGACGCACATGAGCAGCAGTAAATATGTTGCTTTGGGCCCCATGGCTGAAACAGCAATGAGAGGGAATACGACGTTTACACTAGTGTTTTCGTTTTAAAACGTGTGACGCTTGCTGCGGTTCTGCCTGGCTTCCACACTACTCCAGGGTGTTTTACTGTTTGATTCTCAAAAACGGAAATGTTTGGAAATGCTGCAGACCCCGTTTTAGACTCAAAACTCTGGTGTTGTGTAATATTTATTTCCTGTGAAAAACTCTTCCAGTTCCCCTATTGTGGCCGTTGAGACCCTTAAAAATATTAAATGTGCTTGCTAACCTAACGTTATTGGAGCTCTTTGCCAGAATAAGTTACAATGAGAAGAATATTTACAAATATTATGTCAGCTCACTGTTAGACATGATTATGAAACTTCATGAGACGATTTGTGTTTTTACTTGTATATCAGTGCTGTAGGGCTTGTGCTTCAATTCTCAGACTAAACCAGTAGATTCTGTTCAATTTGATTGTAATGTGTTCATATTAAAAGTAGTGAATAGAATTGAACAGTCTGTATTTGTATCATCTATACTCTTTTTTTCCATCTACATTATGTTGTCAAATCCATCGCTCCATCTTTCTATCACTCCTACCATAATCAGATTTCGTCCTGTAGGTGTGCAGCAGGGAGAAATTGGACATGAATAAATCATAAATCTACTTCATTTCTGAAGCCAGATTCAGTCTCCCTGTTAAGATCAGGTTAATAAGCACGTTGAAGGACTGAATTAAATAAAGTGTGAGACAGAGTGATTTGCAGCACAGTTCCTGTTGGAAAAACCAGGTCATAGCAGCTTAAGGTGGTCAGGTTAGTTTCTAGAATAACAACCAATAACTTTTATGTTTCTGCTCTTATGTGTTCTGCTAAATAACCAGCTTAACCTTGGCCACAGTAGTTTGCAGTTTAGAGAAAGAACTCACTGCCCAGCTGAACCAAAACCAGATAGAAACCCACATATATAATGGTTTAGAATGGGAAATGTATGTGTTTTAGTGGAAACTGTAATGGTCCCTGTGGGTCTCTACTGGTAAATTGTTTGCCTGTATTGGTGCCATGTTTAAACCGCTAAATCCTAATTTGGCCCAAAACACACTGCTGGACATGGTTGCCAGGTCTGTAACAAAACCAGCCTAAATGCAAATCAAAAATATCCTAAAACAAGCCCAGTGACCCTATCCAAATATCAAAACTCAGCATATGCCACTTCCATGCCTAAAATATATATTTTACTTTCACTGTTATGCTTTAGGCTATACACAATTTCAAATGTAATCATAAACAGTTTGTTTTCATAAATAAGCTCAAAGTGGAATCCATTAGAACTCCTGCGATGGTTTCTACTGTTCTACCTTTTTTTTCTTTTCAGCAAGATGGATTTGCCAAATCAGGTAATAAACAGATCTTTGAAAGTTATATAGTAGAATGTAAAAAAAAAAAAGTTTAAAAAACCATGTGTTATGTAGAATTAGAACTGTTCAGTATATATTTTTCATTTGGCAGCAGGCCCCCCATTTGTAACTTGGATGTTTTGCAAGACTTCCGGTCTTCCAGTTATTCTACCTGTAGAAAACAGCCTGATATGTTGCTAACTGTTATTTGTTTTCATATTATTTTAATGTATTATTAACATTATAAACACACTGGTTTGTAGCTCAAATAGTTTTACGCTGCACATCTTCCAGTTTTAGTAGCGGCTAATGAATGGGAAGTCTCTCGCATTGAAATAAAACAGCTTACTTCCGCGTTGCATAAAAGGTGGATTTACTTTTTTTTAAATCCTCTCAACCTTCAGTTCTGAATTCTTTTTGGACGGTTCAAAAGTCCTCCAAAAGTGCTTCATAATTTAAACCCTTTTCTCATGAAAGCAGTTTGAACAGCGTTTGACTTTCTTTAGTCGGCTACAGACAAGTGGTCTTTTTCACCGTGTTCTCTGTTCAAACGAAGGGAAATGAAGTGGACACACAAAGGCTAGTCATGGAGAATAGAAGGGATTTAGACGAGTGTCGAAGCAGTAATGGATGTGTTGACATGTCGGAGCTTGTCCTCAATTACGGCCTCTTTATGAGACCTCACGCCGAGATGTGAGAGGATTTTAGCAGTCTTTTAAAATCCAAAGTCATTTCTGAATGAAAAGAATGAGGTACTATTGACGAGAGAGACATAAAATCGTGTGAGATCTTCCTCCATATAGAAACGCGCCCACACACACACCTCATGCCAATGGTGTGTATTGTCTGGCTAAATCTATCACCTTTTGTCGCGGTTCCTTCATGCTTGACGCTTTAGAGGAGCTGAAATTGGCTGTCAGTATTCCGGTCCTGGACTCGGAGCTCCTAATGGAATAAATTGGTTCCAAGAGGTTCAATTTAACTGTGACCCAACACCTCGGAAAGATGATTCATCTGATATGCAAACCAGAGCGTGACCAACAGGCAAGAAACGGCAAATGAACTGCTTGCGCTCTCTCTCTCTCTCTCTCTCTCTCTCACACACACACACGCAGACAAGAAGGTTAAGTGCATATACAAGGTCAGCTACATGATTTTACTAATTTGCTGATTGGTCTCGACTGTGCAATGCATAGAAACAGTGCTACTACTGATAGTTCAGACCTGCTGTAAACTTGTTTACTGACCTAAACTGGGGGCTGTTTCATAAAACAAGTTTACCAAACAAGCCAGGCTTACTTCAATTATTCTGACTTATTTTGAACCAAATCAACTGACAATAAGTCAGACTAACTGAATTAAACCTGGCTTATTTGGTAAACTTGTTTTATGAAACAGGCCCCTGATCTCAGTCCTGAGCTAATGTCATTCTGATGATCTCAGATAACGCTATAGTCTCTTTCTACTGTACTACAGGTATTTATTGCCTTAGCCAGTGCTTGTGAGGCATCTTCACCATCAAAGATAGTATTTTTCTTCTCTATAAAGTGGCTCCATGTTTGAAATGAATACTGCTATAAATTCAGTAGCTATTTTCTTTCTTTCAGTTAATTAAAATTGGCTGACAGGTCACCATAAGAGAAGGGGGAAAAAATGAATTCCAGCAAAATTGTGAAATATTATTACAATTTAAAATAACTATTTTCTATGTGAATATATTTTAAAATATATTTATTCCTGTGATGCAAAGCTGAATTTTCAGCATCATCACTCCTGTCTTCAGGGTCACATGATCCGTCAGAAATCATTCTAATATGCTGATTTGCTGATCAAGAAACATTTATGATTGTTATCAGTTTTGAAAACAGTTGTGCTGCTTCATACTTTTGTGTAAACAAATTTTCTTTGATGAACAGAAAGTTAAAATATAATTTTTGTGACACTCTGTTGACTGTCACTTTTGATCAATACTGTATAAAATGTATTAATTTATTACAAAAATCTCACATATATACACACATATTTAATTATAGTATAATTATATTTTAAATATTGTAGAATTAATTAAATTATATATATATAATGAAATAATTGTTATATAATAAATGTTATATATATATATATATTATTCATCCCAGGTGTCTATTGATATTCTGGTTGTATTCTTGGTCTGGATCTGGAGGTCTATTCGATCCAACCCTGCTATAAGATTATGAAGACCAGATCATCTCATTAATTTAGAAAATATAATGAGAATCATTACTGCCATCCATAAAGATACAAAACATTAATGTCCATCAGTCCAAACACACAACTGCCAGCAATTGGTAGTTGTTCTGACTCAAATCTATAAATTCAAACTCTATACTTGTGCTGTCTTGTTTCACTGAACCCTTCAGAGACTTATAAAATCAAAAAGTGAACGTCATGATTTCTCTTTTCTCTTTTCACACACGTCTGATCTGACCAGATGACTTCTCGCCGGCTGGAGGAGAGAGGAATCAGAAGACATTACTGAAGACAGAAACACAGCTGGGTCCAGATCATCACCTCTGCCCGTCCTCCAGCTGGACCAGACCGCAGGAGGAAACAAGACACAAAAGGTCAAAGAAATTTGCTTTCTTTTTTTGCCCCTCTTTCTGTCATCTGTCATTCGCTGCTTAGTTTAATCGCTCCTCGTGAGCGTCCAGATGCTCCTGTAGTTCCAGTGAAGGTTTAAACTGGATTCCTCTGATTATTTGAATGTAGATTTGGCATTTTATTTCTCCGTCTGCCTGCCGTGCATGGCCTCTCAGTTCATTAACTGTTCATTTACACACTCCTCTTTCATTCTGTCCGCTTCTCCCGGTCTGTGAATGATTGTTTCTCATCTCTGATTCAGTTTTTAATTAAAATACTCCTCTGCTGAGGCTGTGGAGAGATACGGGCCTGCAGAACCCTCAGGAAAGATGTGCTGGGACTTGCTCTGCTTATCAGTCAGTCTGCATTATATTGCTTTTTATTAGTTGTTCATCCAAATAAAATGGAAATTAGTGTGGTTTATAATTGTGTTTGCGGGCAAGTCTCACATAGACAAACTTATGACAATAACCATAATAGTTCAGCTTATTCTGACCAAAAAAAAGAAAACAAAAAAATGACCAAATGCAGTTAGTTTTATTTTTAGGTGACTTCCTATAGTGTGGAACTATTTATATAGCAGGTTTTCCTAAATTAGGGGGTTGTGAGTTGATGAAAAACTAATAGTGAATTAAATCATAAAAAAATGTCAAATTGAAATTAATAAATAATTTAAAAGCAAAACTCTTTTGGTTTTTCCTGCAGGTCATGTGGCCATTGTTCAACATACAGTCAAACCAAAAATTATTCCGAGACCAGATACAATTTTTTATATCTTTTTTTACTAGTGGGTGGTAAAAAAAAAAAAAAGGACACTATAGTTCATTTATGTAAGTGAGGATAGCAACATAAACCCCCGGTTTCACAGACAAGGCTTAAGCCTAGTCCTAGACTAAAATGTAAATCTGAGCTGTTTCAACT